TAGTTCTCGGCAATTTATGAGAGTGCAGGCATCACTGGGTGCTCAGCTTTAATATTTCTGGTGGGCCGGTTGTCAGGGCTGTTGTAAGAAGGTCCAGTTTCATGCATCCTGTCTTGAGAAGTTCTCCGTTTTCATGATGGAGCACACAGTGGCTTATATTTGCCTGGAGTCTGTGATTGCATTGCTTGCTATCTTGGGCAATATCCTAGTCATCTGGGTAGTGAAGCTGAACTCAGCTTGTCAGACAACAACCTGCCACTTCATTATCTCCCTAGCACTGGCAGATATTGCAGTTGGGCTTGCGATACCAATGGCCATCGTGGTGGATTTAAATGTCTCACTCCCATTTGAAGCCTGCCTCTTCATGTGCTGCCTGCTGGTGGCTGTTACTCAAACCTCAATCATGTCTTTGCTCGCTATTGCAGTTGACAGATACCTGAGAGTGAGGTTCATTACCCGGTGAGTAATTTTCATTAAAAGATATTAACTGTTCAAGGATGGCTTGGGTTCTTGGGTTTGAACATTTGGATAATATGCATAGGATTGTCTGTATTTACTGTTGGCAGATGCTGATTTGAATGTCTCACCTGTTGGGCTTGTACTCCCCATTTTCAAACTGATATGGTGGTACGGGGAGGAGACAACATGGGCTGAAATCCACACTCAGACAAAACCTTGTCAACCTTGGGCCAGCCTCTCTCCTTTTCAGCTTCACAAAGAAAAAAAAGGAAGGGGAGACTCAAGTATGCAGCCCTGAGCTACTTGGAGGAACAATGGAATAAAACTGTAACAAAGGGTAGGGTTTGAACTTAGTTACTGGCTCGAGAGGGGCAAATTTTGACTTGAGAACTTAAAATTGTTGGGTATAAAAGTAATATTCCTTTGATTTCTTCCAAGGAGATCAAGCCAACATACAACAAACATTGTGCTCCACCCGAACTATTTCTGCACAATGGTGTGAGAGAAGATTATACTGATAATGATCGATAGTGCCCAAGATGAGCTTAACAGAGAACAGATTTGAACCGGGCAGTACAATACTAAGCGTATGGAATTAATTGTTTTTTTTTTAGATTTGGTTGGTTTTAAGATGTGATTTTATTATGTTTTAATTTTTTAGCTGCCTTGGTGGCCCTTGTGACGGCAGAAAGGCAGGCTTTTGTAAAAAGTACTCATAAAAACAAATGTATACAATCTGGAACCCTTAACAGCTTTTTTAAAAAAACCTAATATTATTTGATATGGAAGTCTATTTTTTCCCCTTGCAAACAGGTATAGGATAATAACCAGTCAGAAAAGAATTCAGATGGCTCTGGGAACAGTCTGGCTGTTGTCTATGCTGGTGGGGTTTACACCTATCTTTGGATGGGCACAAAAAAACTCAACAGGCTTTGGAAACTCACGCAACATGGAATGCCGTTTAACTGGAGTATTGAAAATGGAATACATGGTTTATCTTAGCTTCTTCATCGGCACCCTCATCCCGTTGATCATCATGGTTGTCCTCTATGGAAAGGTCTTCTGTATCATCCGAGCAAAGCTAAGGCAATGGTCAACAGATGTTGGAGGAACAAAAACGTTTTACAGGAAGGAGTTTAAGACAGCCAAGTATTTGGCTTTGATCCTCTTCTTATTTGCTGTATGTTGGCTTCCACTGTGTATCATGAACTGTATTCTGCATTTCTACCCTGCCCTTAAGATCCCCAATGATGTGTGGTACATGGGCATCCTTCTCACCCACTCAAATTCAGTCATGAATCCCATTGTGTATGCTTTCAAGATAAAGAAATTCAGGGAAACGTGCTTCCAGATTTTAAGAACTTATACCTTATGCAAGAATCCAGAACATGCAATTAACAGTACATCTTAACATGGGAAGTTGTCAAACCTTTGCTCCTGCAAGCTGAGCATTGCCAGTCCTGAACAACACTAGCACTCTGAATTGGCAGGCAGAACACATTTTAAGGCCTACTGGGAGCTTGTTCTTAAGTGGATGCCAGGAATCTGAACTTGGGACTTTATTTATTAACAATATCTATACAACAATATTAGCATCATTACTTACAGCCCGATGTAACCCAGACCACGATGGTAGCTGACTGATGTATTGCCGGGTGCTGCTCATGCCCGCCATCACGCAGGAACTATTCCAGCACTAGCACTTTATAATGGTTTTTATTGTTATATTGTTATGATTTTACGTACATCAGTTTTAGTTGTGTAATATCTTATGTAAACCGCCCTGAGTCTGCTACGTGGGGAGAACGGGGTAGAAATCAAATAAATAAATTTATGCAAAGTATATTCTCTACCAGCGTGTTAGTCCCTCTCTAGTACATTAGAGCAAGACATAAAACTGTGCAGAAATAAGCACTATACTTTCCAGGCTTGGTCACAGTGTTAACTCGTGTTCTTTAGCATCCTTTTACCCATTTGTTTTCTCTTACAGTGTAGAAAGTTCAGTTGTAAGCTCTTTGGAGCAGGGATGGACCTTTTTTCATGCATCACTCTGTGCATCAGAACATACAACACTGATGCTATACTATTACCAATTCTTCACAATGGAAAATTGTGTCAGAATGATGTAGTGGTTAGAGGGCTGGACTAAGATCCAGGTTCAGCCCCTTGCCCAATTCCAGCATGGAAGTTCACTGAATGATACTGGGTCAGTCACACACACACACACTACTCTACCTAACCCACCTATCTGATGAAGTGTGGATGCACACAAAAGTTTATACCCACAATTAAACTTTGCTCAAACCTCCTTCACAGTTATTGGTGTGAGGATGAAATGGAGGGAGAATGATGTTGTAAGCTGTGCCCCTCGCAGTAAGGGCACAAAGTAGGGTATAAACATCTAAATTGCATTGTAACCACTCGATGCAGAATTTGTACGCTCAGTGAGTTTTGTCAGCAGGCCACCAAGCCACTTAAGGAACAAGCACCACTGTGCTGTTTCTCAGGACCACTCCACAAATGTCATATCTTTAAAACACAAGTATATTATAGAATAATGGTTCTACCCAGGGGTCGTTTCGTAGAAAAAGAGCTAGGGGAACTCATTAGCATAACTCATTAGCATATGCCACACCCCCGACATCACCGGAAGTGTGTCATAAGGCCACACACCCCGCCCCCAATGGTCCCGGCCTCCGCCGGCCTTGCAGCTCCACTGCCGAGCCCCATGAGGGGTCCGGTGGTGGACCTGCAAGGCTGGCGGGAGTGCAAGGAAGCCCCGCGAAGGCCCTCCCTGGCCCCAGGCAGGCAGGGGTGTGAAGAGGCAGGGAGGAAGCAACTTACCCTCCCTCTTCTCCTGCCTCCTCCTGGCTGAATGAGGGCCGGAAGCGGGGTGGCTGGAAGCAGGGGGCGGGGCTTCGTCATGTGCCCCACCCCCGTACCTCACCCGGGGGCGACCCCCGCGATCCCCCCGAAATGACCTCTGGTTCTACCACAAAGCAGGTGATAGAAAGGGCCCCATGGACTACTGAAACACTAGGATGAGTGTCATTAATGATACTCTACTTTGGAATCTTAAAATGTTAGAGGTGCTGGCCTAGGACGATAAAAATACAAACAGAGTAGAACAAATAGTCTGACATTTAAGCCTTTAACAGCAAGCTGCATCTGAAGAAAGGAACAAGTGAAACTTTTCATCACTGCCTGCTAATGGATGAAGATGTAACTGCTGTTAAAGTCAGTGTGGTGTAGTGGTTAAGAGAGGTGGACTGTATTCTGGAGAATTGGGTTTGATTCCGCACTTCTCCACATGAAGACTGCTGGGTGACCTTGGGCCAGTCACCCAAATATTCTGAAGCCCTTGATTTGAATCCAAAGTTGTGATTGGCTGGGAGAACAGCACTTCCACTGGCAGAAGAGAGGAGGGTGATGTTAGATTGCCAATCCCCCTGCAGATCCCGAATTTACCGCCACCAATGCTGATCCTAAGTATTCCTTGACTCCTAAGAACTGAACATCAGAGATCTTAAAGGGCTGCAAGTGGGGGAGGGGGCTTGCTGTGCCTCATTCCACAGGTAGTGTTTTGAAAGTACCCCAGTATTCATTTAATATGTGTTGCAAGGCAAGTAGAATAGATTTTCAAATGCACACATAGAAGTCAGACTCCTGTGAATCTCTTTTAGGCCATAATCTTAACTATGCCCTTAGGTACACAAGTCTAATTGCATTGGACTGTGGTAGAACCTGCATGCGCTTCTGTGATTTAGGATTAGATCTTTGAAAACCATATTCCACATCTCACTGGCCCTCAGTTTGCAAAATGAAACTGTTGAGAAGGGAGCATCCATCATTTAGGGGACTCAAGACATCAAAGTAGACTATGTAGTTCCCTATTTCACTGTTTCTAGAAATGTGCATGTGTGAACACTATCAAGTCACTTCCAACCAACGGCAATGCTGTGAATTAATTACCTCCAAAATGCCCTATCATTAAAAGCCTTGCTCAGGTCTTGCAAACTGAGGACTGTGACGTCCTTGGATGGGTTCAGTCTTCTTTTTTCCTGCCACCTTCAACTTTTCCTAGCATGATTACCCTTTCCAGTGACTCTTGTCTTCTCACAGCGTGATCAAAGTCATTCTAGCTTCTGGGGAGAGTTCAGGCTTGATTTGATCTAGAACCCACTTGCTTTTTTGGGAGTCCATGGCATCTTTAAAACTCTCCACATTTCAAAGGAATCAACTTTCTTCCCAACACCTTCCTTCAATGTCCAACTTTCACACCCATACAAAGTAATGGGGAATACTATGGTATGAATTAACTTGATCTTGGTCACGAGCAACACGTTCTTATACTTAATCCTTTCTAGCTCCTTCATGGCTGCCCTTTCCACTTTCAATCCCCTTCTGATTTCTTTGGTTGCAGTCTCCCTTTTGGCTGATGATGGAGCCAAGGAAGAGGCAAGAAATAAATATGCATCTTCATTTTGTATTACAAGGACTTTGCTTTCATATCATCGCACCATGCTAAGATGTGTAAAATATTAAATAATTTCTTACAACATGTATATTCTATGCTTAGCTACAGCATCACCTCTCACGCATGTCAGGTAATGTAGATAAAAGAATGGTAGTTACATTGTGCCAAAATATTTATGATTTTTTAAATAAAGGAGTCTTTTTCACATGAACCAAACAGCCATTTAAGGGAGCATGAAAACCATTCAGGATACCTCATCCACGTTACTATATAATGCCCATAAAAAGCACCTTACATTTCCCCTCAGAATGAAGCTGAACAGACCCAGAAGGTGCTTGTGATCAAACTTTCTCCACTGACTTGTAAGAGCCTACAATTAGCTATACAAACCAAACAGCAGACTCTCAAGTTTTAAGTTTCCACAGTTATAGCTAATGACACTATAGCAGTAAGACACACTCTTTGCTTTAAATTTTCCCAAGAGACAAAGGAATAAGACTTAAGTATTCTGCATTGCCCTTTCCCTCTCCCCATGAAAATAAAAATAGTAAATTCAATTAAAAAGTAATAAATGTGTATAACTTGTGCAAGATGTACAGTATGGACTTTCCAGGGGGAAAATTACGCTACCCTGCTCTGCACTGAAAATGTGTACACTCAGCCAGCCAAAGCTCCACTGTATAAGAGGCTCATCATTTCCATAAGGTCTAATTTGCTCTGACAGGGCTAGATGGTAGTCCTAAATGGTACTATCCTATCTTACAACTGTGAATCTAATTTTTGGGTTCTTCGGTTCATTTGGTTTACATCCCAAAGCAAGTGTTGCAAAGTCATGAATGGAAGATTTGCTCACTTACCGTGAAGCTTCCTTTCTCGGTAGTTTGGCAGTGGGACGGTCCGTACAGCTGGGATAAGCTCCTCCCTCCTTTGAAGGGTCGGCTCCAAGCTTTGATCCAGATGGGGAGGGGTTTATCCCCTGGAGACTTCCCAGGTCATGCACGAGCCCTCTGTACCCCATCTGGATAACACCAGAAGGAAAGATACCTCCCCAAACCAGAAAGGCTAGCATAAAATTAACTGAACATGCCAAATACAACAATCCCCTCAACTACTAAACAAAGGTTAGTTCTAGGGAGAAACATCGCCCAACGGCCTGCATTCAGAAGTGACCCCTTCGATCCCGAATCTGAAGCGGTTCCCACCAGGATCTTAAGATAGTACTGCGACACGCACAACAAACGCAACTGAACAACCCCCACAAACTGGGTGGGCCGGACCATCCCACTGCCAAACTACCGAGAAAGGAAGCTTCACGGTAAGTGAGCAAATCTTCCATTCTCCAGTGGTTTGGCCAGTGGGATGGTTCGTACAGGTGGGACGTACAAAAGCAAGCCCCAAGGGAGGGAACATATCACAGCGTTTACAGGGGGTGTTGCAGAACCCTATGGCCAAAAGCCGCTTCTGCTGACGCTAACTTGTCCACCCTATAATGCTTAGTGAAAGAGTGAACTTATTGCCAGGTGGCTGCTCTACAAATCGTCTCCAAGGAAGGAAATGAACGATATGCCACTGAGGTGGCTGCCCCCCTCAAAGAATGGGCCATTATTCCATTTGGCCAGGATTATGCAACCCTTGATCCATCTACTAAGAGTCGAAGCTGACACTTGCTCCCCTTTTTTTGACTTCCTGAAAGACACGAAGAGAGATTCAGACTTCCTATCCTGCTTAATCCTATCGATATAATAACTAAGCGCCCTCCTCACGTCTAGACAGTGAAGCTATTTTTCCCTATCATGAATTGGATTGGGACAAAAATCAGGTAAAATAACCTCCTCTGATCTATGAAACACAGAGTTAATCTTTGGAACAAAGGCAGGGTCCAAACGCAGGACCACCTTATTTCTGTGAAAAACACACAGGTATTTATTGATTGA